TCTAAAGGTCATTACGAACGGAGTAGAACTAATTACAAAGTTCCAGTCGCCATTTAACAGAAAGGCTGGGATAGAGGGACATTGAAGGCTTGTCAGTGACTCCAAGTGGATGGTATATTTTTCTAGACTTTCCCAAGAACGGAAGGCATTACAGCCCACTACATTACACTAAATCGCTCCAGAAGCATAGCACACCTTATCGAACTACTGGCGCAACGGCCAACCTTCAGAGCGTGTAAGTAAACGACGTCTATGGTGTCTACTTTAGCCCACTACGATTGATCGAAAAAAATGCACATAATCGACTACCCATCAACCGCATAAAAGGTTACAAAAGTCGTAGTGGTGGTAGAAACAACAACAAATGGCACCCGACCTGGTTCCAAACTAGCGATAGCACTCAGGAGATCATAATTGATGCAGGGTTCGGCCTCTACGCGAGGTTCCCAACCAACAGGAGGGGAGGCAGGCGGAGAAAGAAGGAATAGACGGGAGGGTTTAGGCGGAGCGAGGTAGCCTTCGTCGATTTCCTCCTCTGTGTTCTCATCGGTCAGCTCCTCATCTTCGAAGGAAGTCTGTTTCGCGCTGGCACCGGCCGCACCAAGCACCAACTTTGGCCGTGGACCCGCTGGCTGCACATCCTGATCGTCTATTTCTGCAAAATAGCATCGGATACCCTGGTCTGCAGTTGCCTCATTAGGGTCATCGTCAGTGCCATCAGCATGAGGGGTGTTTTTTGGAAGCCGCCATCCCTGAGTCTCGAAACGAGCCATGAATGCTGCCTCCGTTGAAGACATTGTCACCTGTGGAGGAGAAAGGGGCAAGACCATTATATTCTGCAGGTCAAAGCTCTTTATAAAAGTTGGATGTTATAAAGACGTTCTATCTCGATATGAGGGATGTCTCTAAAGACCGAGTGGAGGATTTTCGTCTCTCCTTCCAGATACTGCGTAAACGCACTCAGCTTCGACCAGAAAGTAATTATGTCGGATTAGAACAGGTGTGCGAAATATCCGCGTGGTATGAATACTCTCGATAGCCACCAACTAAGGTTTGATCCGGTAGATAATCTCCTTCGAGCGGATGTAACCCAATGTTCTCTTGTGGGGGCAGCCACAAACACTGAAGAGAGGACGCTCGAGTCGTTCAGGTAAGCAAGTGCATTATTTATGCTTACTCGCATTGACGCAATTGATATTGTGTTCAGAATAATTTTATTAACCCCTATCCAACCCCTTGAGGTTATGGTGGGTGGTGTGGAGTTCTAAGTCCTTATAAGAGAGCAATCTGTGTTAAGGTCCCGAAATATGTGGAAAGTATTGTTTTTATTTTCTTCTTACATCAGTTAAGGCGCTGGGGGA